AAATAAATAAATAATCAAAAATAAAAACAAAAATAAGACCTAAGAGCACTAGGCCCACATTTGCACCTGGCAGATACTGGGTGCTCCTGAATAGTGGCCAGTTCCCCAGGACTTCGTGACCAGCCCTGCCTTGACACCCAGTACCATATATTCCTCCCCCTCTAGGCATTTGAGTCTTTAAGTCTTGACATAGATCCCTTAATTTTTAGAATAAATCAAGACCAAATACTAAATTTATTTTCTTCTATCTTTGATGCAAATTCTGTATGTCAGTAGAACAAAAACAAAATGCTAAATGCTTCGAAATTCTTGAGAAATGACAGGGGAAAGGGTAAAATAGAAATTTTAACAGACAAAGACCCCTCCCTCATGTCTAATAATAATTTGGCTCACCTTTTTGTCCAGCAGAGCTCTTCAGTGGTGATAATGTATGTAAAGTCCTTTCATTTTATTTCTGGAAAAGCTTTTCTTTTGAGGATTTCAGCTATCCCTTAATTGTAGAACTTCTGTGTCTGCATGTTGTATGACTTATACACGTGGCTTTTGGATTCATGTTAATCAAACAGTGCCCATGTGAATTTGAACATTCTAGTCTGATGAAAGAATTTGGAAGGACAGTTTCCAAAATGCTATTTCTTAAGAGGATCTTTTTCTAGGAAAATTATAAGTTTGAACTATTGATTTTAAATACAGGTTTTTATTTCATTAAAAATTAAGATACAACAATTTGAGTGGATCAATATGTTCAAAATTATTTTGAAAAGCTCTTTTATCATCTTACATTGATAATTTTCTTGTAGATAAGATTCTGACTCTCTATGGTTGAGATCTGCATTTCATATCACATTACTTCTTATAATTCTGTACTATAGGAACTGTGTCACATTTAGTCATCTATTTTGAAAGTTTGTCATGAAATTCCCACATGTGATTTTTGGTGGTGCTGCTGGGAATCGAACCCAGGGCCTGATGCATGCAAAGCAAGCACTCTACCAACTGAGTTATATCCTCAGCCCCCACATGTGCTTCTTTATAAAATAACTTTGGTCACCAACGAATCTTCCCCTGAAATAGTGAATATTCCTCAAAACATGATATAGGTTAGTCATAAGTGATCTTATTTAAATTCAAATACACAATTGATAAGTGACTTTTTTTCTAATTTTGCTTAAATTGCATTCATACAGACAGGTTTATAAGAAAAGTGGGATCAATAGGGAACAGTCCCTAGAAAATAGGGCAAATAATAAAGTCTAAATTGTTACAAGGAAAACTGACTAAAGTAAGTGTGTTTAAAGTCCTAGCCACTTATGAAACCGGTCTGAGAAATCACAGTTCCTGGATGTTAGCCTCAGTGATTCTCTGCTCTAGAAATCCTTCCACAAGGTCATACTTAAAAATCACCAAAAGAACAGAACAGAAGATCTGAGATCTAAATTCTGCCTCTGGTTCTGGGGTTTTACTAGCTGTGTGTCCTGGAACCTCCCTTTCCTCTCTGCATCATAAAAGTAGTGGATTAAATCCCCCTGGAGGCCTCCCAGATAAAAAGGCTACAGGCCTTTGTGTCCTGTCTGTTCTGAAAAGTAGCCAGCCTCCTCCTGTGAGCAGCCTCCTGTACCTCTCTTGTGTTGCTCTTGACCTGAGTTGTCTGAGGCCAGGAGTGAATCTGGTGAATCCTGGATTAGCCCATATTCACATCCGCAAACTTCTGCACATCTCTCTCCCCTCCCACACCCTAGTCACTCATGTTACTGCAAAAAGATCCTAAAGAGGGACAGTAATCAGGGGCTGTGGGGTAAATTGTTGGCAGCTACAGTCACAGTTGGAGGAAAGAGCGGTCATGTGTCTGCTTGTTTGTGTTTTCCAGACACGGTTGGGTCCACCCATGTTCTGTTGCTTAGCAGTTTTCCCTGTTTCTCCTGTGTTTATCAGGAGCTACTCATCTTCCCCATCACATGCCTACTCATGGGATGCCCACATCACCAGGCCAAGGACAGATACTTAGCAAAAAATAGAAGGTCCTCAGAAACACACATTCTAAATAGAACACTAGAAAGAAAAACGGAAGAAGAGGGCTCTCTACATTCCTCCTAATTTGTTTGGAAGCTCCCTTTTAGGCCCTAGTTATGGGAAATGCATCTGTGATGCTTGCTAACAACACCCAGTTGCACACAGGGAAACAGTCTTCCCTGCACTCTCTACTCTCTCAGACCTTCCTCTTCAAATAATCTGGAGAAAACTCCTTGTGGTAAGACATTAACACCATCAGTAAAGACTTTGTATGTTTCTGCCTTGTTCTTCCATGCACATAACTAAAGCTTGAACATCCCCATGAGCAAAGCTGTATCAGACAACAGTCCCTCTGTAAGGTTCTGTAAAGCCTTCTATGGTTTAAAGGAACCCTAAACACAATGCCTGCCTGTCTTTCTTTCTCTGGCCTGATTATTTGGGGTGTGTGTGTGGTGGCCATGTTGAAGTCTTGGATTGTCCACGCCTGTTGACTGATCCATCATTCTCTGACTAGGTGTCTGTTCTCTATTCCTTTTTGCTGATCACAGAGGCGCAGCCCGGTAAGAACTCTCAACATTTTACCTTAAACATGTATAGAGAAAATTGCTGCCAAGGCAAGGTGGCCAGGTTGGTTTCCCATTAAATTTATGATAACTCGGTGTGAATGAGGCAGATGAATTAGGTTTACTGGTTGTAATCCTCTGATTTTCTAAGTGTCAAGGGCATGTTTTAGAATTATCAGAGCATGTTTCCATAACAGAATAACTTGATACTTGGGAATCCTAACTCCTAGTGCTAAATTTAAAAAAATGTATTTGTATACATTGTGGTGTGTGTGTGTGTGTGTGTGTGTGTGTGTGTGTGTGTGTGTACATCTCCAAGGACTGCAGATTGGCCAGTAAGCCCCATAGAAATTGATAGTAATGTGATAATAAAGAATCATAAAACTATAAAGAAAGTAAAGAATCATTTTTTAAGCCATGTTGTTCTTAAGCCTGTGTTCAAAATATGTGCTTGGACCATAACTTACATACATTGATATACATACTTAGAATTTACATTTTGGGGTCAGACTTACTTTCAACTCAATACTCCTAGATTGTAGGATCACTCTAAATTTCATCACTGAAGACAATTCTGGAAGGTAGATCAAGGGTAGTTCACATTGATCTAGTGGAATCTCGTTTTCCTCAAGTTAAAGAACATGAAGAATGTAGAGCAATGACAAGAGCCTGATGTTTTTGAAATGAGTCCCCTCCACCCTGTCTACCTAGCCAGTCACTTTAAAGAGGAAATGAAACTGAAATCAACACCCTATGAAATATCCCTATGCCTGTGTCTGCTCAGCTAATTAGTTTGAGGCAAGTACCCTGCCCAGGTGATGCTGATGGTGTTCTGTTTACACTGCACACCTGAGGTTAAACATGGTGTCTGTAGGGACAGCTCTACACATGTGAGGATTCCAACCCAGCAGTCGGATGGTACATCAGATGAGGAAAAGAGTGGGTTTCGTTAATTGAAAAATAAAGAAAATGGATTCACAATATACATATAGCATCAATCACTGAAAGGAGGAAAATATGTTCATGCATTAAGAGGAGGTTTTTAAATCAATGGGCTTCTGTCCCGAGTGTGGTTTGGGTGATCACCCTAACCCTGTTGGAGATTTATCATGGTGACAAGTGTGCTGGATCCAGCTCACAGTGGGACTTTTTTTTCCATTGCTGTGGACTTGCTGCTGGTATTTTAAATATCTGTTCCTTTCCAAATTGATATTCCCTTATTGCTTCTAATTTCCAACCGACAGGGTTTTCTTGTATATTTCTTCCATCTCTGGCTTGTCCTTAACTTATGATCATTCATTCATGAGAAGTATTTAATAAAAGTGGTATAGGGACTGCTTCTCTAGTGACTTTCAGTAATAACTGATGAATACGAAAGAAGCTTTCTACCATTATTGTTTCTCGGATATTAACATTTTTAATAAAATGAATAGGACAGAGAGACCAAAGTACCTTCAGTCCGCCCTCTGGAATCTCCTAACAACTGGATATCAGTTCTCACAGAACTGGATGGGCGCTGTTCCCTCAATGCCAAACTTATTGATCTTGTATTTTGACTATTTAAATGAAAACTCCTTAAAACCTTATTTAATTCTCACTATCAAGAAGGTCTCTAACCCAGAAAAAACATTTTTAGCCTCATTTAAACAGTTGTTTGTCTACATACCCTTATTTTAAAAAATGAAAAATAATAAAAATAACCCTCATATCCAAATTCCCCTAATGATCTTAGCAGAATTAAATAAGCATATTTAAATTTTTTTGCTAATTATGCACGAATCTACCATCTGGCACATGTAGTAAAGGAAAACAGATTGCATTTTGGTCAAAACAAGTCATAAAATAATAATTGGATTGAGCCACCTGCCAGAAAACACCTAATAGATCTTTGTTCAGATTGAAACTGCTCCTCCATCCTAATTTAGTTCAAAAGAGAACAGAAAATTCTGATATGTCCTTAGGAAAAAGAAAAGCTTCTTACAGTTCTATTACAGAGGTGCTGGATCTTGTCCTAAGTTGTTAGTGCTGTAGTCTGAGAGAAGAAAACAGATCTGGGACCATCAGGTTGAGCTTTCACCATCGATAGAAAATAGGGGAAAACTGTTTGGTGGCACCTCACCAAGATGGTCCATGGTCCTACCCCTTTGCTTTCCTTGCCCTCAACTGTCCCTCGTATTCTCTTAAGTCAGGCCATGCCAAGTCATGCCCTACCCCATGATGTAACCCTACAGTGGTCCCATGGTAGCACCCCACACAAAGAATCTTTCACAGCTTCTGTTTTTAATTCAAAAATTGTTATCAATTCTTCTGTTTTCAGAATAAGTTTATGCCAAGACATTATAAAAGCTAGAAATGACCTGCTCCACAGTGTTTCTGCCAAAACTATTTGCATTCCAATAGCATCATAATGTCTTGAGCTAAAGAATAACTTAATCCGTAGATTGATGGGTCTAGTAGCAGGCATGTGGAAGAAATTGGAGAGGTGGAACTCCTTAGCTTCCTGAATTAAGTGGTAGAAGCCCCTAAGTTCCCCTCCACTTTAATACTTGCCAATTTTTTAAATTGAATTAGTAGCTGATGACTGGTTCTACTAACACTTTGGAGATCCCACCTGACTAGGAGCAGTCAATATTCCTAAATACAGTCTAGAACTTTCAAATGTCAAACATATGTTAAACTTGGATTTACTCTCTTATCGGTTAGAGTTTAGGAGGGGTTTTGTTTTTAAGGGACTATTCATTATTTGACTTTAATTTCTCAAATCTACCCAGGTAAGGGCTTTTTCTCAGTCAAAAGACTTAGGATTTACCTTCCCTTCCACACTATAATCTTCAAATAAAATGAAAAACTGATTTATGTGTGTGTCCACAAGTTCCAACTTAAGTATGGTTCTGAGAAAATTTTTATTTTTTCCTTCTGCATTTCTTTGAGTTCAGTTTAATTGCAATGACAGAAATGATACGTATTGTACATAACATATATGTGGTCGTAAGCCTTATAGTGTCTATTTCTAATTCTAGGGTGCAATTAAAAGGAACTTATCCAGTAAGTATATCATAGCTACCAGACATAGAGTACAATTTGAAAGAAGAAATAGTTCCTTGGCTCTTGGAGCATATATATACATTTGATTTATAAACTCTTGGGTTTGATTTTTAAAGCTTACTTTTTGTCTTTTTTTTTCCTTTTTTAAAATGTTTTTTGCTTTTACAGCAAAGAATTCTTGTTATAATAGAGTGCTTCTCTGGGTTCTGAATAATTAATGTTTAAATTCAAAAACAATATTTATTTTTGGAAAAACTTTGCTATTTTCTCCCTGTATTTGCCGACTATTGCTGTATTATTTAAGTTTAGAAATGAGTTTAATCAAGTGTGCATTTGCTAATCGGGGTGGGGAGAAGAGGAGGCCAGAAGGAAATGAAGGTAAATTCAACTTACCCATTCTTATGTTATTTGATATGAATATTTTAATCAACCAAAGTGATGATATGATATGGGTTATAATATACATAGGGCATGATTTTCCTCTGCTGCATACAACACATCCTAGGGAATTATAAATTCACGGTTCATAGTTAAAAGATAAAACATTTTCTTGGCATTTCAAGAAGAGAAGAGGCAGAAAATGCTGTATTCATTTACTATGTACATATGGCTGCTTTGTCATTGTTTTATGGTAATTGGGAAGCAGAACTGATCAAGGCAGCAGACATTCAAAGACTGGTATGCCATTCCACTGAGTGCGGGAGTGTACAAATCTTCTATTCAATGGCTTGTTTATGGTAATTCCTTGGTTAATGAGGTTTTACAAATGCCAGAGAAGATGCCACTACATGTGACAAATATATTTCTGTTGCGTGGCCAGGGGAGAGGGTTTCTTTTGCAGAGTTTTCTTATTGAATTGTTTATTGATGGGACTTCAATCTCTAAGTGTTTCCAAACATAGTTCATTAGACACATCAGAAGGGAAGGGTAAAAACGTGCCTGAAAAGGTCTTTTGTCCCTGTGCATCAGGTGAAGAAGTGGCCAGGCCCCGGCGTTCCACACCAACTCCAGAACTTATAAGGTGAGCATGAAAGACATGAATTGTGTTTTCTGTGAGGCCTCAGGAACTCTTAACGATTAGGCAAATATCTTCTGGTCTAAACTCTTAGTTCCTGTTAATGAAGGGCATACCTACATGTACAAATTCATGCATCTGTAGCATGTTACCATTTCTCATAAGTGCAGCCCCAGGGAGACTTTTTAGGGAAATACTGTGCAGTTATCTAAAGTAACTCCCTATCAGAATGTGGCCCCTTCACTAATGAAAAGTCTAAAGGTCTATATAATAAGAACTTTTAGCTTCTGAAATTCTGATCTGAAATACATTTATATGGCTGACTCTATGAAGGAAAGTCTTTGAGGTTGTACACAACTTCATGATGCATCTCATCTGCCACAAACCAAAAGAAGCCTCTGGTGTTTGATTTTAGCAGAACATTGTTATTTCACAGTGTATTCTTTAGGTAACATATTATACAGATGCGCACTGCTTTCCCAAAAGGCTGCTATTTCTCTTTAATATCTTAAACCTTTTAGGACTTTTCCTTTCCTTCCCAGCCTCTGTCCTCTCCTCTCCACCCGAGTCCCTCACCACACACAGATTAGTATTCACGAGGTGTGGAGTAGAAATGGAGAAGGTTGTGCAGCTGTGAGTAGAAATTAGGAGAGAATATATGTTGTGTTCCTCCTGCCCCCCCCCAATATCTTCAGCACTCTTCTTTTTTCTCTGATATGAACTGTGCTGGAGTATTAGGAGGTCATAATGAGCCCTTGGGGGGGAGGGGGACAATGAAGTTAGGAGCTGAGCAACCCAGTTTCTTGTTCAAACACCCAATTTCTTGGGTGGCTTGTGACGTCGCATCCCTATGCTCAGCTTTTAGCAATCGTACATAGACTGCCTTACTTACAACCCAGAGATGTGGTAAAGACTCATAAAAATGTTTTTTTAGATATAAGGGCCAAAGGGTACTTTGCAATAAACTATTATCTCTCAATATTATCTCTTCTAGATACAGAAAATCATGATGCTTTGAAAAATCTTTTCTCCTTCAACTTATTTCCACTTGACCTGTACCCTGGCCCTCCACTGAGAACCAGAGATTTTTATCTTTGACTAATACTCTTGTCCCATAATACATTTGACATCTTGATGTAATACTTTCTAGCCATAAAGTAGCTTTGTATATACATTCTTGCACATAGATATGCATAAGACTTTCTATGAACTTTCATAACTTTTACTATGAACAAGTTATTTTCATCACTAACCATTGGTTTCTTCTCCCCCCCACACACACACATTTTTATCAACAAAAATATCTGAAAGCTTGTATATCTTTTTGAGCATTAATTTTTGAGCCCTCTCTTGTATTTTGCCTCAATGTATGTGACTTAGCAAAAAGCCTCCTGATGACACTGTGGCCCTTGCTCCCCTCTTTGGCCCACCATTAGAATCAGCGTTTGATGAACAGAAGACGGAAGGTAAGAAAAAAACACTATGCCTCTTAGATTTGTTTCCTTTTTCATTAAATTATAACTTATCTAAAAATATATGTATATTTTGAGGTATGTTTTTAATGTATCATCATATCTTCATAGTAAAGAAGAGTTCCAATCTTGGTTTATTTTCCAAGAACAGGAGTTTAGATTGCATATTTCTGTTATTTTAGGATGTGACATTTACTTCCAGAAATATCTAATAGCTAATAAGCTCATTCCTCGAATAAGGTTGGTAAAAATTAATGCAAATCTATACAAATCCTTATTGAGGAGTCAACACTCTGTGACCAAATGGCTGTCCTATGGGGTGTTAGCAGGAGCATGAATGGAGCCAGGCCTTCTGGGACTCATCACAGTCATTGTCACTGGCCTCTCTGCTGCCTTTAATCTCTTTCCACCCCATTAGTGGAAGTGACCATTGGATTGTTCATGACAGGCATTGTTTCCAGGCTCAAGACCCAGAAAAGACTTAGTCATTTGGCAACTTAGAAATCAAATGCTATGAGAAAAATACCTTCATTTATGCCATCGTTGCTAAGCTTTCTTATTACACATTTATTCCTAGTGTTAAATATTTAACTTTTTAGAATCAACCATGTTTTTTGGATGGCTTAAAAATAATATATACCTTGCTGTTATAAGATAATCCCTCTGTACGAGAGATCTAATCTATTCCTGAAGTGCATTTATGTCCAATGCATGTATCTCCAGTAGCTGTGTTTGATGATATGCATGTATTTATAAAAATTGTTTCACTTAAAAACAACATTATGGTGTGTATATATATATATATATATATATATATATATATAAAACAAAATGGTATCTTTCTAGGACCCAATGGTGAAATACCCTTATGTGCAAGAATGCTTAGAAGTATAATGAGTATAATGCCTAAGATTCAGTAGCAAAGAAACAACAAATAGAATTTTAAAAAAACAACAGAATTTTATTTGTTTCATGTGAACAGTCTGAAAGAAAGCAATATTGAACTGGTAGGGTCGATCTACTGTCCACATCAGTTACCTTCATCTCTGACTCCAAGAGAGATGCTCCAACTCCCCACCCGCCTCTGTCAGAGGAAAAGTGGTGGGGAGAGGCCAGTGGAACTCTGCCAAAAGTCAGAGCAATCTGGAAGAGACACCCATCACTGCCAGCCAAAGCCCACTAGAGAGAATCTGGTGTCATGTAGACAGCTAAACTCTTTGACCATAGAGAAATGGAGAATGAATCTCGGAAATTAGCAGCAATCAGCCACACCTGAATATTTTCAATGATTTAATAGTTAGGAAAATGTATAAAGAACATCTCTAAATACTCCTTTAGTTATTTAAAGGTTTATAACTTGGATTCCCTCCGTTAAGGCAGCCTTGCAGTCAGGCAATTATTTGTCTTAGTAACTCATCTGCAATCAGTCTTGCTTTTCATGACAAAGTTGTATGATGTGCAGAAATGGGATTTGATTCTTTTGACCTGAATCTGTCCATAACTATATAGAAACGTTATGTAAAAAAATAGAAGTAGTTCTTAAACATCAAAGTGATATTCCACATTGAATTCATGAAAGTAATGCTGCTTCACAACAAAACAGAGCTAAGATCATTTCTGAGGTATGTGATAGAGAGGAGAGCCATGCGTGGACTTGTCAGTCAATCTGATTTATCTGTCCATCAAGTGACTGCAGCCCCTGGAGTCCTATAAAGTTCTACCATTTGCATCAACCACATGATCCTGCAATGGATTGATTCTCCTAGTACTAGTTTAAAAGGCCTGGAAGGCTATCTATATTTTGGACTTAGGTATGCCTGGATCAGATCTTAGCTCCTCTACTTTTTCTATGAACAAGTTATTTTTTTTCATCACTAATCGTTGGTTTCCTCTCCCCAAAGTGGCAGCAGTATCACCACATTGGTGGTGTTATAAGGATTAATATAGATAACAACAGCAATTGCTCTTCTGATAAATGTGCATTTTACAAACATTTCATTTGTATCCATTACTTGCTTCAATCTTGTCAGTAACTTATTATCTCCACTTCACACTGAAGGAGGGAAGCTCATAGAGGTTCAATGCTTTGCACAGGGTTCTAAAGTAAGACTAGAGGCTAGATTCAAATGCATATCCCACTAGCTTCCCAGTCTGCAGTCCACAGTGTAATGAATCACCTCAGTACTTGCTGAAAAGAGGTAGCTATTCTCACCATTTCCATAATAACAAGATCAGAACAATAGAAAAGAAAGAGAAAAAAAATATTAAATTCAATGTCCTTAGATCCAAAACCTAATTGTCCTGATTTACTTCAGATGTCTAAGCATTTATTTTTCTGGTGCTCTTAAGATATTCACCAACCATTTTTAGAATAATTATGTCTCTTTATGATGCTGCAAAAGGTTTTTTTTAAAGACCCTGGAGACCCTTTAAAGATAGAAATCACTGCACAGAACCCGGGCATTTTCAGCTTTGAAACATATTCATAAGATATTTAAATAAACCAACTTATAAGAAAACAAACATCCATGGAATCAATGCCCGAATTTTCAAATGGATACCTGAATTGGAGCCAGTATGTGTGCTGATATTTGGAATGTCCTTAAGTGACCACCAGGAAGAAAATGCAGAATCCATTTTAAAGGTTTTTACTCAGCTATATGCAAACACACAGACGCCCCCTCCCACCCCTACACACCACACTTCTATTTCTGTTTTCCATTTTAAAAGAATGGGAGCAGCACATTGCTATATTAATTTCCCAGTATAAGGCAAGGGGGAGATAATTTTGTAAAGTTCAACTTTAAATTGAAATTTTTAAGTTCTAAAATCCAGGGAGGTTCTTTTTTTAACTTACCCTGGGAAATTCTCTTTTTTATGTTTCCAGTTATTTTAGATCAGCCTGAGATATGGGGTGCAGGCCAGCCAATTAATCCAAGCATGGAATCGCCAAAGTTACCAAGGCCTTTTCCCACCGGAAGTAAGTTATATGTCTGCTCTTTCTGGAAAAATAAGTGACTCATTTTACTGTCTGTCTGCAGAATGAAATCAGGTGACTCCTAGAAAGTCAACACAAGCAAGGCTTGAACTGTATGATATTGAGGGGAGACGTTATTCTAACAGGCCATAGAGTTTAAAAAGAAGCCATGGCAAGTTATCTAAGCCAGAGATGTAAAATTATTAACCTTGAACAATAGACTCTTCTGATGTCCCACATGTTCACCCACTCATTCATTCATTTCATATGTATATGTAAGAACCAGAAGCAAATGAGCTGAAGAATCTGCTGGGCTGATGAGATATGGTCTCTGCTGATCCTACAGAACAAGTGAGGCTTCATAGGACAAAAAGAACACATTGAGATCAAAGAAGGACAGTTGGAAAGCAAGAGAAATTGCTAGAGAGAAGCTGAGACAGGAAATCAGAACAAATTTATATCAAAGCAGCCATCAGCCCAAACAAAGCTGGATGGCTGGAGGAGGTCCAGAGATCTTTATAACCCTTCACCTATGATGGGCTGGACTATTTGGACTGAATGCATTGCTTATTTGGCCAGGTCACCTGTATGGTGGGTTAACTGAACTTTGCTTTCAGAAGACTGCTTGTACCAAGCAAGCATATGGAAGGTGCTCCTTAAAATACCCATGGGAGGATTAGATCTCAGGAAAAGGTGGGATGGGGCTGTAGAAGGTAATTTAACTCCTAGAGGCTCATGTACAGACCAACTCATACTTCTTCCAATTCAACATCCCCAGGGTTTTGCCTTTTAGTTTTTAAAATGATCATGGGAATTAGCCCAGAGGATTCATAATCACAAGCCAGAGGTTATTTGTTGAGAATATTATTGTTACCAAGCCATGTAAGCCAACCTTTCCAAGAATATTTTTTCAAAAACAGAGTAGAAAAACAGCATCATCAGCAACTCTTTTTAAACTACTGAACTTTGAAATATGTATATGAAGAATGTAAAACAGGGCTGGGGTTGTGGCTCAGTGATAGAGCTCTCACCTAGCACATGTGAGGCACTGGGTTGCATCCTCAGCACCTCACAAAAGTAAATAAACAAAAATAAAGGTATTGTGTCCAACTACAACTTAAAATATATATAAATATATTATATTTATATATAACATATATATTTTATAATAATATAAATATATATATATATAAATATTTTAAGTTGCAGTTGTATATATATAAACTACAGCAGCATAGTTTGGAATGTTTCTCCATGCTACTAGGAAACAAAGCCAGAGGAGAAAACCTGACTTCCTTGAAAAGCTTTCTTTTTTTCTTTTTAATACTTCATTTTATTTATTTCTCTATGTGGTGCTGAGGATCAAACCTAGGGAGGTGAGCGCTCTACCACTGAGCCATAACCCCAGCCCCCAAAAGCTTTCTTTACAGACCTAAATTGCCCAAACCATTCCTAGAAAATTCTTCCTAAATGACAAGAAGGTAAACAAATGAAATGTTTGCGTAGCTGATGTGTTGCTTCAACACCACTTATTTCAGAGCCGTGAGTTTTACATACTGTAGTGGCACCTAGCACGACAGAGGCTGTTGTTTATTGATGGACATTGTATAATTCTGCTCATTTCATGGTTGCAGCATAGGGTTACTATTTCAAGTTATTAGGCTTTGTGGTATTTTACTTGTTTTATAGTGTTTTGTTGATGACAATCTTGATCAACTTTTTATAGAAACCATTACTAAGGAGACTCTGATTGACTGGGAAAATATGATCCACAACAAGTGCTGTTTTCAGCAGCTCATAACGAAGATTAAGGGCCAAGTGCTCCTAAGCTTTGAGAGGACAGCTGTTAGTCATGCTTATTGTGGAAAGAGCCCTCCAGCTTACATGTGCACCCGACTCAGCCTGCTTTCAGGATATGAAAGATTAGAGCACATCCAGGTTCACATCTGAACCTTGAGATGATTTATGAAAATAGTGTGAACTCTTTTGAGTGAACCAAATATGGCCGGTGACAAGAAAACATACATTAAAGGGAAGAAAAAAAAATGTAGCTGTTGAAACAGTAATTTTTAACCTCATCCATAAAGTGATGAAGCCCTGTTCAGAAGAGTAATCTCTTGGTGGAGACCATAACACTAGACTTATTTCTATCTGAGGATTTTGTTGGCTGTCATTTTTACCAAGGGAACCTGTTCATTCTTCATTGACCCAAGTCACTTTGCCTCTGACTTTCATTATCACACCTGGATTGTTAACTGTCTGTGAACATGATTTTCATCATCGGTCACAATTCCTTGAGGGCAGAGGATTTTTATTCAACCCATTTTGTTCCTAGCATAGCAGGTAGAACTTAGTTGTGGATTGAAGTTTATTAAATAATATTTAAATGAATAAAACATTGATGTTATTGTTACTATCTGACATCCTTTTGGCAAACTCTCATTCTCATAAAATGGAAGAACTTTAATAATCCTGCTTTAATCTGTTGGCTTTGAACTTGACAAAATTTAGATCATTGATGGTATTTCCAACATCAAGTCTCTCAATGAAAAAACTCTAATCCTGCTTATCTAGTGTCTTGTGTACTTTAGGAAGAATGTAATCAATAATACTTGATTTCTCATCTCTCTACAGCACCTCCACCACTGCCTCCAAAAAATGTACCAGCCACCCCACCTCGAACAGGCTCCCCCTTAACAGTTGGACCAGGTAAACTTCAGGTTCCTTTCATCTAAGATTATATGGCAAACAGGCACAGCCCTGGACCTCAACATTCCCTTGATGCTTTGGAAGTTGTAGTCTACATTAAAATGGTACAATGTTGTCATTTAGTTTATTTCCATCACAATGTATTGTGCAAACTTATTTTAAAATACCACTTCCAGGTTTCACACATGAAAGAGAGAAAGAAAGAAGGAAGGGAGGAAAGAAAAGAAACTTCTCACAATTTTGTCTTGGTAGAATAAGAGCCACATTCACTTATAAAGTGAAGGGGGGGAATACCAATATGAAAAGTTGTTTAATTAACCATTCCTCTTGTTGGATCTTATTTTGGTGATTTAAAAATTCAAGGCACAATTTGAATTTTTCCAGGAACCAATAAAACTTTTGCTAGAACTAAAACTGTCTAGTCTACAAAGACATAAAATGGTTCTCAGGATGAGTGGTATACTGTTGGTGTGGAATTTTTTTCCCCCGGTAGTCATTCAAGTATTTACCATCTTATGGCAAAGAGATGTATAAAGATCATGAAATGTGGCAAGAAACTTCTGCATCCTTTTAGACAGATATCTCAAAGACATATCTTTGCTTTCAATTAAAATCAATAGTATGTATTCAGACAATTTATAATCTACCAAGTCTTATTGGACTGTCAAATCAAAAGTAGTAATGGTTATTTTATGGATCTGAATGTGGTTCTTTGTCATTTTGGAATTCTATAGCAGTTTCATCCTTTGCAATTTATGCAGCCTGGTGAATTTGATAGGTACAGAGAGGGTATTTATCAACAAAAGAGAAAGCAAGAAATGTCATTTATGAAATTTATATTGACTTAAACCCCCCCCAAAAAAACCGTTCAGAGTCGCATAAGTACAGGCGTTTGCAAGTTTGAGCCACTGGGGTCTCCTGTATTTCCAATAAACTATATTAGACATAAATAAACCTACCAGCAGCCAAATTATAAATATTGTGTGCCACGCAAAATTCTACCTCATTTATCTTTAGCCTTGGAACCATGAAAGTTAATTCCTTTCAAACTATAAATATGGAAATGACAAGCCAATTCTTACAGCCCAAGAGTTATTTAAAGGTAAAATAACTTCTGGTCATGCCCTCCAGTTATTTAAGTAACAATTTCTAATTTGAATAATCTCAGTTTTAAAAAAATAGAGTTCTTCAAATTGCAGTTGTTATCAACCGTTTCATGCCAAGCGGTAGAAGACAAGTTTTTAACTTTTGCCTCTTATTATTGATATGAATTAAAAAGACTAGCTGATGCCATCTAAGACAGAGACTTCTGTTTTGTAACTGCAGATATATACCACACTTAAGCATGCGATGTTAACAGATGAGATTTGATGCGAAAAAGAATTATTACATTTTTATGATTTTCTTCTCTATTAAACAGGCATATGTATAGCAGTGCCAATAAGTAGCAAATGCTTCCTCAGTAACCCATGAGTGTCATGTGTATGCATGTGTTTAAAAATATTTGTGTGAGAATGTCTCTTTAATCTTTGTGCTGTGTTTCTGGAGTATTAGAAGACCTACAGCTAAATGTGATATCCATTTTTTTTAAACTAACAGATATCATCATCAGTTTCCCCAAACACACTAGAGCAGACAATAGTCATAAAATATGTGTGTGATTTTTGGCACAGAAGTCTTTGTCTACTGTGTTGTATTGCAGTAGCCCATATTTTCAGAAACAAACTCCTTTTGGAATTTGTATTTTCAGAGCCTATGTTTCTTATAAATTGAACATGAGTTTCTTGAAATGCTCCCTTGGTTCTCTTGTAAGCAGCCTTGAGAGCAGTATCATGCTCAGCACTTTAAGTGATGGTAAAAGTGGCCAATTGTTATCACCTTGCAAGAATAAATAGTAGCATCAAAATATAACGCTCACATTATGGAGGGGAGATCTCTCCTTTTGCCTTCAGCTCCTAACCCAGCCAGATATATACCCACGAAGGCACCTCACAGGGCAATATATCTACCAGACTTTGCCTCACCCTTATCACCCTCCCCCCCCATATAAATAATATTAAGAAAGTCAATTAAAGTTTAAAACCAACTACTTTGACCACAGGAAATGAACAGTCAGCCACAGAGGCCAAAATTGAAAAACTACCCTCCATCAATGACTTGGACAGCATTTTTGGCCCAGTGTTGTCCCCCAAGTCTGTTGCCGTGTACACTGAAGAAAAGTGGGTTCATTTCTCTGACACGTCCCCGGAACATGTTACTCCAGAGTTGACGCCAAGGGAAAAGGTGGTGTCCCCACCAGCAGCATCAGACAACCCAGATGACTCCCTGGCTCCAGCCCCTCCCGGCCCCCCGGCTCCCACGGGTCCCCCAGGACCTCCTGGGCCTCCTCGCAATGTACCATCTCCGCTCAATTTAGAAGAAGTCCAGAAGAAAGTGGCTGAGCAGACCTTCATTAAAGATGATTACTTAGAAACAATCTCATCTCCCAAAGATTTTGGGTTGGGACAGAGAGCAACTCCACCTCCCCCACCACCACCCACCTACAGGACTGTGGTCTCGTCCCCCGGACCTGGCTCGGGCAGTGGTACGGGGACCGCCAGTGGTACGTCTTCTGGTTTGCTTGTGCTCCGTGTGCCAGGGAATGGCCGTGGCTGCTTGAGTGTGAGCAACACCCTCCCCCTGCCTGGCAGTTGGCCGTAGAGCTCCAGCCATTCCTGCTCTGGTCTGGGTGTCCTGTGGCCCCGTGGCATGCCCCAGCCCATCGAATGCTCGCAGTCGTGGTCCAAGTCTGTGGATGTGTTCTGCCCACCCAGCCCATAGGAGCGTCCTCCTCCACCCTGCCATTTAGGTTTTTAAAGAAAGCTGGAATGTCATTGTTAGGAATTCAGGAAAGTTCTAGAAAGGCATATTTCAGAGAGTGGTCTGATTCTCTTGTCTGATGCCTCCTGAGAGTCCTAGGTTTTGTAGGTCAACGTGGGGGGGGAAGGAGGGTCCTGTTTTTTTCTTTTTGTTTTCATTTTTTTTTTTAAGTGGAGAAAGAACTTTTTTTTTAATGTAAGATTTTAAAAGGAGATTTTAAAGAACTACATTAAATAAATAAATGCCTTAGCACATCCCCACCCTAAGGGAGCAGCCACTGCAGACAAACTTGTTCTCAGATCTCACCACTTGACACACCCATCAGGCTATGACGTCAACGCCAACGGTGGTGACATTTGATGAAAAAGTCTACCAGAAATGTACCTTTGGGGAGTCTCGATGCAGATTCTTACATCGAATTTGATTTTTTGTTTGTTTCTTTTGTTATTATTTTGAACTTCATTTTCTGTCTTCTAACCATGAAAGGACAGAAGCTCTTGCCAGGCATACCAAAGAAATATCAAGATCTTAGAATACAAATAGGATATAGTTTATTCCACTGTTGCTCAGATTCATCTGGCAAGATCCTGCGAGCCTTTCCTCCCTTTCAGGGGTTCAGTTTCGGCACCTTCTCTGGGGGTGCCAGGTGCTGTTTTTTCTTTGCTTTGAAAGAGGTAACCAAGGTCTGGGGCTGTCGCTCAGTAGTAGAACACTTGCCTAGCACATGTGGGGCACTGGCTTGATACTGAGCATCACATTAAAAGTAAATAAATTTAAAAAGATTATTGTGTCTATTTATAACTAAAAATATTTTTTTAAAAAGAAAGAGAGGTGACCAAGCGTGAGATATTTAGATCTGGTGAGAAAGAAAGGGCTTGTTTCTGTTCTGATTGTCACTCACCACTGCTCCCTCTTTCCCTGGAGTGCCCTCCAGTGATTGTTCCACATTTGCCTCTGTGTTTTTTAAAGCAAGAGCATCAAAGGGGATCAAGAAAGGGTGGGGGTTCACCTGTGCCACAAACAATACCATATTATTAAGTATGCCCCAGGCCTTCCTCTCCCCAAGAAGAAAAAAAAAATTTTTTAAATTTTTAAAAAACCCTCTCAATACCTGGTACATATACCAGGTATTGAGAGGGTATCACTTGGTTGCTTTGAACTCACAATTCTTCTACTTCAGCCTCCCAAGCTGCTGGGATTACAGGCATGCACCACTGTGCCCAGCTAGAAAATTATATTCAATAAGCAAATACATTTGGCAAACATGGCATTAAATAAAATGAGCAAGTTTCTTTACCACAGAACCTTGGAAACCTTTATTTTGTCAATAATAAGCATTTCCTGCTTAGCACTATGCTAAATGCTTTGTGTACATTATTTCATCCTCACAACAACCCCATATGGAAGGTACTATTATTTCCCCTATTTTATAGATAGGAAAACTGAGGCTCAGAGAGGTCAAGTCATTTGCCCAAGTTTATGTAGCAGGAGATGACAAACTTTGGATTCACAGGTCTATCTGATCCTGAGCCTGTGTTCTTACCCCTGTACTCTCCAGGCACTTCTGTGAGGTTTGGTCACAAAAGATTCCAGACTTAATTAACTAACACTGACAACCATCTATATTGCACAGTGTCATCCACAAAATCACCAAAATCTGCTTTCAGAACCTACTGTTTTGTTCACCTCTCTAATTCCGAAGGGTTATAGCACCCACCGCCATATCTCTGTTGCTTTTTTAGTTTTGTTCATGGATTACAGCCTCTGTATTTATCTGTAAAGGTACTAAAAGGTTGCTGTGTTAAGCCTTCAGACAGCAAACCTGAAGAAGTTGTCTCTCTAAAAAAAAAAAAAAAAGTGGGGGTTGTGCCTTTGTTGTTTCTCACAGGGCTCTCTCTCCTGGGTCCCGCTCGCAGTGCCCTAAAAGGACATCTCAAGGAATACCCAGCTCTCTCCAGTGGAGGGACAGAATGCTCTCCCCAAAGCAAACCCCTTTAGTGGGAGGTATGGAAGACGAGGAGACTTCATCCTTGACTTGTGTTTTCATCACCTTTCACAATGCTCTGGGAGATATTTGTTTAATTAAACACTTAATTATTAAGGAAGAGAGAAGTTTTAGTTTTCTTTCTGGAATCTTTGAGAGTTTCATCATTTTAATGTTTAACTTCCATAGCCTTATTTGAAATTATTTTATATGGTTACCAGTTAAAGACTACAAATTCTTAATAATTGGTCTGGAAAAAGCTATACTTTGCTGGCATTAAAAGGATCGAATTTTCAAGTAGGAAATTGATCTGGTCCTATGAAGCCCATAAATAAATAAAACCTTGCACCATCATTCCCTTAATTAAGTCCCAGTTTATTTGCTGTTAATCTTTTATTGATGAATATACACAGACTGTCAAAAATAGAATTTTAGGATTACAATAATAGAATGAGTAGCTTCATGCTTTAAAGAAAAATGATGCTCCTCATTACCTGCCTTTTATAATGCATCCTGATGGGACTAACTTTCCTGGGCTTCTTTAACTGATTTTAAGTGGGTACCATTATTCTCACATCCTAGGGTGTCCTAACCAAGCTGTGAGAAGCAGAAGTGCTACCTGCTGTTGAAACACAGTGGGAAGTAAAGAATTTGCTCCAAGAACTTCAATTTCCTTATGGCAAAAAGTTATAAATACCTAGTTTGGCCAGAATAGTGCTTTATTGGAATATAGATGCTGATTCCTGGCAAAGGCTATCTGTTTTCCCATGTTGATTGTGTGCCAGGGGACAGAAAGGAAAATAAATTTTATTGGCCTTCAACAGGTTTGGACTAGGAAAGAAAGGAGTTCATCAAGTGAAGATGTTCAGAGAAACATCTTCCAACTCATGAAATATTAAAAGATGTTATTCATGTCATGTGATGACACATGCCTGCAATCCCAGCAACTCAGGAGGCTGAGGCAGTAGGATCCCAAATTTGAGGCCAGCCCCAGCAGCTTAGCTAGACCCTGTTTCAAAATTAAAAAACAAAAAGGGCTGGGGAATAGCTCAGTGGTAGAGAACCTCTGGGTTCAATTTCAATCCAGGGGAAATTGAAATTTTAGTACTGGGTGGGGGCAGAATTTTAAAAGTTATTTACAATTTCACATACACACACACACACACACAAACACACACACACACACACACAGTTTGAGATGCAGAGGTTGAATTAACCAAAATATACATTTCTTAACTGCAAGTCTTTTTAGAGCAATGGTGTCTAGGAAATCACTAGCCACATGTAGTTATTTTACCCGTGATCATAACAAATTTAAATTAACATAAAATCCAGTTATTTAGATACAGTAGCCATGATTCAAGTGCTCAGTGGCTACCTGTGAGTAGTGCTATTATTGAATATTGTGTTCTAGAACATTTTCGTCGTCACAGAACGCTCTATTGGAGAGTTTTAGAGCTTTTAATTGTTTTTATTACCAAAGGAGGGGAAAAAAGAAAATATAGTATATAACCATTCCCATACATGCTTAACACTTTTTTCCAAAGAAATTGTGTAATTGTGTCCTAAGAAACACAATTTGGAAAAGGTCATTTAGTTCTTCCATATTTCAAAGTACATGTATTTTAATTCACTTGATTCTCCCAGTAATACTGTGGGTACATTAGCTTCATTTTACAGATAAGGAAACAAGCCCAGAGGTAACTTGACCAGGGTCACAAAGCTAATGAGTACCAGAGCCAGGACCTGGCCCCATGTCTGTGGGATTCCATAGCCTGTATTTCTGCCACTTCCCCCAGCTGCCTTCTCTGTCCCCCGCACCACATGGACACATAAGAAGTCAAAGTTGAAGCTATAGATATTTGGTTTTCAATGGTTACCAAAGAAACCATGTTGAAACATCACATCAAGAACAGCAAATGGATCAAGAGCATAACAATTGTTTCCAACTTTTGTTAACTCACAAAACTCAATGGATGTGTAATTGTTAAAGTTAAACCTTAACTTTAACATCTTAAACACTGCATCTTAAAACAGTGGCGCTGTCCAACTTATTTTCTGAATCGCGTTTGGGAATAAACACTACCCAAGAAGGAAATCAAAGTACAATTGAAAATCCAAGAGGTTAGGGAGGTATAAATATTATCCATCTACACCCTTAAAACACAAACAACTTCACAAAATCTTGTGAAGCCTTGGGTCAACTGTGGAATCACCCTCAGGCCCTGTGTGTTGTCTGCTGACCCTCAGGGTCCCTCAGGCAAGGTGTTAATCCAAATATCCTTTAAATGCTTTTAACATATTCTCTTATTTTCCTTCTAAATGCACAATAAATCAATTATATCGATTCAGTAAAGAAAAGGTGATTTAAATGGGAGTATCCATAAAGGAAAAGGAAAACAATAAATTTTTAATTAGCAATTAACACTTTTTTCTTTACTTTTTAGTTGTGTCTTTATCAAAAGATACTCTTTACCATCATCATCAAGACCTATTGCCTTCTGTTGCTTAACATTTTATAGTTTAGCAAACACTTTCATAAGCATTTTTAGTTTCCCTGTTATAACTAACTTGTAAGTAGAACAATGTCTACTTTTTTAAAACAGGGGAAGCTGAGGCCCAGAGAAGAAAAGATCCCACAGATAAGGAGAGATGGCCAGGCAGGAACTCAGACCCTTGGACCCTCCACCCAGTATTCCACAGCCCCTCAGTATTTTCCTGAGCGTTACCGAGAGAGGATTTTTTAATTTCCCTTCTGGAACATGGAAGGAAAGAATAAACGGCCAGCTTTTTCTTAGGATTGATTCAGAAGACTATTTCTTAGAAATAGACCCACAGAGAAACATTTGGACCATTCCTATAGAAGGTTTTCCCAAAGCTGAATAGAAACCCCTTTCTCCATCATTAAAAAAAAAAAGAGTTCCCTAAGACTTCCTGACACAGACTCCATTGTTTCAAGGTTTATTTCCCATCTTTCTGCTGTCATTTCTATCTTCTGAAGTCCTCCTGGGTGCAAATCTACTAACACAATATTCAAATCAAAACTTTGAACCGGGACTTGTCCAAACATACTCCATTTTTTAAAAAGAGAACATTAATCAGAGAGACTGAGAACATTTACATTGAGAGAGATTTATACAAATTGACCATGTAAAAATAAGCACAGATTTTATGCAAAATGTGGGACTCCACAGTCTTTCCAACATTATAAGAGCTTGGGATTTGGAATTAAATATACCCTTTAAGTGCCAGGATCTTGAACATGTTACTAAATATCTCTGAGCCTCTGTTTTTATTGAGATGCTACCAGTACCTACCTCCAAAGCTTACCATAGGGATCAGGTAATAAATGTAAAGCACCTAGCATAGATCTTGGCCCAATAAAATAGAAAGGGAGAGTTCAGTAGAAGTAAGCATACAGAAGGTGGTAGTGGTGGGGACAGATGGCATAGAGAAGAGGTGGCAACAATCATTAATAGGATTTCACACTAATGTCGAATAAATACTGCAGAATAAACTCAGAATAAATAGTACAGAGAAACATGCTCAATATTTCAGATTGTTGAAACAAGAAGCAAGGTTCACTCCCAAGGCTATCCTCAAATGAGAACAGACTCTGAAACGATTGGTTTTGCTACTCAACTTCAAAGGACTTTGTGGATGTGAAGATCTAGAGATTGAGATGCTGGTTTAGAACTCCAGAGACCACAGATTTGTGGTGTATTTCGAGGGAGGAAGTAGGTGGGGGTGGGTAGTGGGAAAGAAGCATGGATACTTTTCTGGGGCAGGATTTCTTAGAGTTTTCTTGAGATAGTGTGACAACCTATGTTCTAATCGGAAGTGACAAAACTTCTGAACAAGGACTGTTGAAATACTGATTGACTTTCCTGAGGTGTTTGGCCAAATAGTTTTCCCATGCTCCCAGGCATATGACTGAAGATGGGCCCTTGAGTGCAGAGACCCCTCTGGTGTGCTGATTGGTGTGCATGCCAGCCTCTGTGTGTCATCTGTGTTTCATATGCTTGTCATGGACAGCCAGAAAAGTAAATCCAGGAGGCTCTTTAAAAAAACGACTATGAAAATCATCACTCTACGTTGACATTACTGAACAGAGTTCACAAAATTCTCTGAATTTGGTGTTTCTATTACTGTGATTCAAAAACACAAAGAATTCATGTATCATCTAATTTTCTTTATTATATTTTGTCCTTTGCTTACTTCAAGTGTTTGGGGACATTAATAAAGTTAGTGCCCATATGTTGACTCACAGTCAAAAGCATAATTCTCTTACCCCTGCTTAAAAAAGAAAAATATAATGTAGAAAATCCTTCATCTTCCTCTTCCTTTAAGTTCTAACCTTTATTCTTTGTCATTTAAAAAAAAGAATCAGAGAATTTGCCCTAAGTTTAGTGGGTATGTGACTAAAATGAAAAGTACCACCAGGCAAGAGTCATAAGAATTCATCTTCTGTCACAGATAGAGTAATGAACGGATTTACCTTCACTGGGTGTCACATGACAAGAAAAGGTAATGAGCTTCAGCTTCTGCCATCAACCATAGTTCAACTGAATACATTTTTCTTTATTAAAAAAAAAAAGAAAAAGAAAAAAATGCGTGCTACAGTGCTTAGCGTAGAATTGCCAAACCAAATGTCCAGGCATTGTATTGTGATGACAGCATTCTGGTCACCTCTGCTTCCAGCCATTTCTAACACTGGCCTGTTTTCCAGGTGCATCATCTCCTGCTCGACCAGCCACTCCCTTGGTTCCCTGCAGCAGTACCACTCCACCTCCACCTCCTCCCCGGCCTCCCTCCAGGCCAAAGCTACCTCCAGGAAAACCTGGAGTTGGAGATGTGGTATGTTCCCCTCTGCCCCAGCTTGCTCAGAATCAGATGGAGAGATCACCAATAGCTTCAACTTCAGGTCTAAGCACAAGAACAGGACATCTCAACTTCAGGTTTAAGCACAAGAACTCTTTCCCAAATGACCTTTTCAGGTGGTCACTGAAAGATAGTCACTGCCCACAGGTGTATCTTTCAACCCTCCTCAAGGGTCTATCATCTTTCAAGCCAATGTCTGAAATGAGAGTGGGATGCTTGGGCCCTCACCTCTGCTACAGGGATGGATGTCAGTGCATATAGTCATGATCAATTCTTGCTAACCCCTTTAGAAAGAGAGGTGTTTCCACTCACAATATTTTTCTGATTATTGGAAAACTCCAAGAGAGAGCAAGTGCTGGTTTCTAATCCTAGAGTACAGATACATTCTTGGTGGTAGGTTCACTATGTGAATGTAAAGAAGAAAGCATCAGCCCATGGATTTGTTGCAGAAGTCTCTTGTATTGTAATTTAAGGCTGAGGTGTGGAAAGCAATCTGTGCAAACAACTGACAAGACTGTGGCAGAGGTCAATTTTGTTGGCATCTGTATACAGTCTTTGGCTTGCTAGCACAGTCCAGGATTTTGTATTTAAACATCTTTAGATTGGAATGAGATTTTACAATGCTTCCTGCTCAGCCCCTGAGAGCGTGTGAGGACACATCACAGATCCCATCACACATCCTGGCCTCTCTAAACCCAGCATATCCACTGAGTTCAGCCATGCTAGGGTTTATGGTTCCTCCAGCTCTGCTCCCCAAGCTGTTGTGTAGATAAAGCCCATTTTACTGTGAAAACAGGCTGTCCATTTGCCTTTAGGGACCTAAGTTGTCCTATCCGAGACTGGGAGACATTAACAATATGGAATCAAAGTACTACAACCTGTAACTGACCTGTGATCTCTTTTCTTCTCCCTACAGCCCAGACCCTTTAGCCCACCCATACACTCTTCCAGCCCTCCTCCGATAGCACCCTTAGCCCGGGCTGAAAGCACTTCTTCAATATCGTCAACCAATTCCCTGAGTGCAGCCACCACTCCCACAGTTGGTAAAAATTATCTCCTCTCTTTTCATCTGTTTGTGGTTTTGACTGGCTAAGTTTTCTGATCTGAATTCCCCGGGCCCTGTGTTTCTGGTTGAAATTGTTTTGCTATGTGTTTTGCTACTGTCAACCTTCCAAGCAACCTTCTCAGCAAAGGAGGCAAAAGACTTGACCTACGCCAATGAACCAATAAGCAGAATGTGAAAACCTGTATTTTGCAGGGATGGTCTTATGCTATTCCATACAGAGCTGTTCACAAAGCAGAGAAGAAATTGCCAAGGAAGGTCCTGTGATTTAGATATTTCTTATTAAAAAAAAAAAAAAAGGCAGTCTCCTTTGAGGGGAAATGTTTAAATTCTAACTGGGTAACCACACCAGAGATTGCAAAAATCAGAACTTTTATTATCTTGAAGGTTTCATTTTTCATCATTTTTGGTTGTCCCGAGGTTGAAGAATGGTATCAACATTGGCATGGTGAGACATGAGAAAAAATTTTTTTGACTTTTTTTTTCCCTAGTGCTTCTCAATGATATGCAGTCAATTTTCCCAGAAAAAAAAAATTAGTCATTGCTGGCATTTTCTGTAAATGCCTTGTGCCTCTTTTCTTATGCTGTGATGAGAGTGAAGAGTTGAGGATGGCTGCTCAGCTGGATGGTTTTCTCAGGTTTCACTGCCTCCTTTTGCCAGGAGCATCTTCCCTCTGCCCAAGGCCGGACTCTGTCTCTTCCCACCTCCCATCAGCTCCTGCTGCCTCTCCCCTCTTGCATGGTGGCTCTGACCTGGGGCTTTCCCATTCCACTTCTCCCATACAACTTCCTCCTCATTGTCTTCCTTCGTTCTCTAAACTCCCCTCCAATTCACCCAGCTGATATAAACCAGCTGACCCCCACCCTGCCTCGCTCAGAAGGACCATCAACCAAAGCTAAGTGAATTCCTTCTGCTACCCAAGGAAGAGCACCCTGCAGACTTGCCCATGTGAGAAGTAGGTGAATCAAAGTCTGAGACTTAATTCTTGACAACTGCCTATTTTCTCAGAGAAATAGGTTAAGATGGGCTTCTTAAGCACCCCCCAAAGTAACTTCAACTCCACCCCAGACTCTATATGTTACATCAGATAATCCCCAAAGAATCCTTCAATTGTGGTGAAAATATAGGCAGTTCTCTGTGAGATTTATTAATGTTTTTATATAACCACATCTCTTCCTCATCTGCATCAATTGGGGCAATTCAGGGCTTCTGTTTTTCAATGTCTGTTAGCTCATTCTTTCTGGTTTTGTTTATTTGGTTTTTTTGTAACATCCTAACCTTATTTTTTCTCTCTTTTTCTTTAATCTCCTTGATTGCTACAGCCTTTCCCACACACACACACTACCACTACCACCACTCCCATTCTACTGTTTTGTTTTGTCAAGATCATTTATTCCACCCACTCCATGTGATTTGCCTTGTTGGTCAGAGAAGAAAGTAAGAGTGAACTGTCACTCCTACAGCATCCCCCAGGTGACCTCAGATGAACTAGATAGTGTGTTCTTTCAACTCACTTTGATTCATAGAGAAAACTGAACACACAGGGAATTTGAACTGTGTCCATGTTCTAAGCAATGTATTTCTATACTCCCTGCTGCTGAAATCTCAAATCCTGACCCAGTGACTCTGATTTTTAATGTATCTAGTATGTGTTCTTTCAAGATTAAACCATGGAGGGGTTAAAAACAATAGCCACGGAACAGGCTGGTCTTACTGATTCACGGCTGAGGATCATACTGATTTAATCTGTTTGGTTCTCTTATTTTTATTTGGCTTCATCTACCCACTGAATTCCTCATCCTCCTGTTCCTTATTTCCTCCTTCTGTGGGTCGCCTGACAGCCTCTTCTCTCTGAAGTAAATGCATTATTAAGTAACTAACCAGCAGTTTCTTGTGTGTTGCTATTTCTCTTTCTGGGGAGGATGGGCTTTGGCTGGTCAGCACTATGGGTCTCGTCGTGGCTGACTTGGAATGTTGATTTAATGTAGTCAAATGGCTTAGGGGAACTTGAAACTTTCAGCAGCAAATTCCCTGAAGTTGATGGCTCAACATTTCCTCCCATCACTGCAATACCTTTTTGACATTTCCTATGGCACTTGAACTGTAATCTGGGCAAGTATATGGAAACCAATGAGCCCAAGTTTAAAGTTATCCAAGAACTAAATTTTTAAGAGCAGGTCTAAACTTTCTACAATAAAATTCATGCAAGAAAATGTCCCTAAAGAGCTTTCGATATGAAATTTTTCATAAGAGCCATGAATATCAAGTAGCTACCAAAGAAACTCTATGCATAATAAAACCTGATTGATAGGTGATTTCCAGAACCTTAAGAATTGACCAAAAAATATCTAATGCTACATGAGCAAAATGGAACTTTCTGTGTAATGTCACAGAAATTTGAATGATGAAGAGCTCCTACTCAACTGTATGTCATCAAATTTAAGATATCCCTGATTAAAAATTACACCATTGTTTTATATATGACTAAAAAAGAGAAAAAAGGTATAAATTGAACTAAGATGCAATGTTTTCTTATATTAATTATAAGACCCATTCCAATTTCCAATAACTTAACAATGGAATACAGTAAAATCTTTGTATTACAAAAGTAGGCTCATAGGACCTGCATTGTATGATTTTGGGGAAAATTCTGTTAACATTATGAGGACAGGGAAAATGTATAAAATTATTCTATTATAAAAAACTAACTCAGAAAGAGAATGAAGAGAGTTATCTCTAATAATAAATATCTAATTTTTATTACACATGTCTTATTTTTGAGGGTGTTAGTAGTTTTTTTTTAAAGATATTTGCAAATATCTTCTTTAGGACCCCACTGCAAAAAGACCATGGGAAAGATAATCTTTCTTCCCTGTTAATTTGAAGTTATATTCCTTTACTGGTAGTTATACATTTTAAATTGTATCTTTAACATGCAAGTAAAACTGAAATGAATGAAAAGTAATCATGTCTGGATACCAAAGGAAGTATCAGATGGATTGGATGCTTCCTTCAGTCCAGAACTTTGAGCAAAATTGATTTGTATTCAGTAGCAGAACCATAGCATCTAAAACATAAAACATTTCCTCCAAAGTGGTTAGCAATTCTTAAAACAATGAAAAAAGAAAAAGTATGCTATTTTTTTTTTTTGGAATGACCTGTCTCCTGTGCACCCATGGATATTATTAAATGGAATTGCATCAACTTGTTGTAGCTACCAAAGAAATTTTATGCATAATAAAAACTGATTGAAAGATGATATCCTAAAACCTTAAGAACTGACCAAAAAAAAAAAAAAAAGCTTCCCTACCTTATTCCCTAAGTCAGGCAGCAAACTAATAGAATATTTTCCCCAAACATTATGGTTGTTGCGAGTATTTTTTTCTACCCTCATTCATGTCTATAACTTTGCATTGTAGATAGGGTTGTTCATTCCTGGTCTTATTATGATTTTTATTCAGTTTTGTACTAAAGTTGTAATACTACCTGTAAGACCTGTGGCAATTTTGTTAATTTAATCACTTTTTAAAACAAAAACCCCCAATTACCTGTTTTTGTTAGTTGGTGAGAGAGAGATCCCATGTAAAGATCTAAAACAGTTGATGTTCAGAGCATAATGTTGTGGTCAATGAGCAAAGACATTTATCCACAGCTGGATATCATAGCCAAAGATGAAATTATGATAATGCTGTTGAAAATTAACGGTCCATAACTATCAAAGGCAGGTGCAAGGCAAATTGAATTTGGATATTGATGAGGGCTGAAATGGGATAGTTCATTCAGAGACCTGGGATTTATACGGTTGCTTTTTATGGTCATGTTAAAAGCTAGCTTCTCTTTTCCTGGGGGGAATGTGCATGCTGGGCAGGCCTGTTGAGCTGTCAGGGTCCTGTCAGGAGGCTCTGGTTGATAAGCATATGTCTGGCCACTTGAGAATTGTGTGGAAGTGAAATACACTTGCATAAGTCAATTATTTATGATGCCTTTAGCAACTCCCTGAGAAGGGCAGGTGTGACTTCTTCCCTGGAGCTGACCCATTCACAGATGCCAAAACCTGACATTTTTTAAATTTTAATTTCTTCTCATAGAATCATTATCAAATAAGCATATCACTTTCTATATCTTAACCACAATGCCAGTGTTTTAAGTTACATTTCCTTTTTTTTCATGAAAATCATTCCTGAGTTTCAGTCAGTAGAGTGTGCTGTTTGATTTCATTTGGGATTTGTATTTGTGTTTTTGTTTTCCATTCGTTTATGTTTTTTTGGTTCGTAGTGTCAGAAGATGATGTTTTTTATGACAAACTCCCCTCGTTTGAAAGGCGCTGTGACACGCCTGCAGGTATGGTGCTAGCTGAGTGATCTCTAGATACGTAGACTTTTAAAATCCAAGCCATTATCCATCTGAATGCTAGAAACTTCATGGACATGCTCCTCACCTCATGAGTGTCCAGTGCCTCTCAGATGCACCCTGTACATTTAGTGTTCATTGTGGAACTCATGCCACCGAAACATTTGTAAGTGGACATATTAAAAAAAAAAAAAGCAGCAGGTTGCATGACAGTTTCTCAGTGAAAAGGTTTGAGAAAGGTGAGATGCCATTGCTTTTGTGACTTTTCAAAGGAAGGAATAATTTAACTGCTCACCATTCAGAATTACGTGTCCAGTAACTGCTTTTTAATTTAAAACGTAATAGAGCAGCATCAGTAATCTCGTTTTTCTCTTTGGTACAGTGGTAAAGGGTGGTTTGTGTCTGGATGCCTAAGGTGATTCCAGCAGAGGGGATGGAAGACCTGAGACATCTTCCATGAACTTTAAATTGATATGCAATGCTGTTGTCATTTAAAAGCTAAGCTGATGTTTCATACGACCCATAATACTGGTTTATCTTTCTGGAAACATGGAAGGGGGTGACATTGAAGATGAAATGGATACAGCAATTGCTGAATGACAATTTGCCCAAAATTAGTGCAGTTAAAATATGCTGATGCCCCTGCATGGCCAGGAAGACTTCTGCTCCCTGCACACGAGCACCAAGTATCAAGCTATCAACAACCGTACCCATCCCCTTAGGCTGCCATAGCTTTGCTTCTGCTTTCTGATCCCTCAACTAAAAAAAAAAAAAAAAAAAAAAAAAAAAAAAAAGACAAAACATAGATTGCCAGTCTTCCCTTTTTCCTGCACGCTAATGGCATGCAGTGCCTCTGCCCTTCCCTGTAGTGAGATTAATGACCTGCTCTGTAACTCACATTGTGTCCTTCTCTCTCCCTCTCCTTAACCTTTCCCATCCCGCTTCAACTCCTGGCCATACAGAGAATGAACAGCCTTCCCTCGTTTGGTTTGACAGAGGAAAGTTTTATTTGACTTTTGAAGGTAAGTAGTACATAGCATACCAGATTCTAATTTATACTCTCCTCATCCTTTGGTCCCCTCTGGCATTTCAAAATCCTAGTTCTATCCAAACGCTTTCTATCTAAAAAAAAAAAAATGCTATGGCTACTTAGAAAATATTAAATACTGAAGAAAATAAGACATGAATTTGGTTTGTATGTGATCTTCAATTTTTCATACTAAGCAAATGAAAGCTAATTTGTCATTAATATTAGTCACTTGATTAACTGTGGTCAATTGAAAAACAAAACCAAACAAAGCACATCTTTTCTTGGCCAAGGAACTTAACTCTGTCAACCAGGGCTCTTTCCTAACTCTTTTGCAAATGCAATGCAATGCAAAAAAAAAAACACATGAGGACATTTTTGGTTGGTACTGGTGATTAAGTTTGTTTTCAATAATTCGTATTCCAGATGCAATATGCATTATCATGAACTGTAAATATGTATATAAATATATGTATATATTCTTAAACCAAGATATGCTACATAGGGGATCAGAAAAATGGAGAAAAGAAAAAAGAAGTATTTTAGTAGGCTTGATTTTTATCTGAAATTGCAATTGGAAGGGCTGCAGTAAAATGGTAACTATTGCTGGACTCGCCATTTTAGATAATTAAGGAAAATAAACCTAAATATAATGTTAAATTTCTAAGATCAGTTTCTTATATGCTGAATTAAAGATTATCAATCTTCTGTTTTATACTTATGTTCTAAATCATCTTAACTGACCAGGAATTTGACAGAATTGCCCACTTAAACTAATAATAGGAAAAAAAATTTAGTAATTTAACTTAATTAATGGCTCATCTTACACATAACGATTTATCACATAAGCACCTACATAGCTAAATTTATCTTGGGACCAGAAGTTGGCCACAAAATATTCTACTCTAGAGAATAGAATCTCAGTATTGAACTTTATAGTTAGTAACAACAATAATTTTTCTAACTTATTGCAAAATTCAGAATGGCTGATGTATATTAGTAGGTAAGATGGGTGTAGTTCTTTCTCCCAACAGTGAATTTTTGTTTGCAACATGGCTCTTGATATGGAAGCCCCTAACTCAGAGTAGGTTGGTTTTTGTTGTTTGTTTTTGTTTGTTTTGCAGTACCAGTATTGAACCCATGGGCACTCTATCACTGACCTACATCCTCAGCCCTTTTTATTTTTTATTTTGAGACAGGTCTCAGTAAGTTCCTTAGGGCCTCTAAGTTGCTGAGGCTGGCCTTGAACTTGCAATTCTTTTGTCTCAGCCTCCTGAGTCACTGAGATTACAAACATGCAGCCAGCAGCTCCAAGTACTTTCCTTCTGTGATCTCATTTCATCTGTACAACTGACTGATGAGGAAAACTGAGATGCAGATAACCTAAGTAACTTCCCCAGGATCACACCCCAGGCAGAGGCAGGGTAAGGATTTAAACTCAGGCCACTAAGCTGGAGACCACTTGTCTCCCTCTTGACCTACTGGGCATACGTAACCTCATTCAGTCTCTACAATAGCAGTGGATTTTCCCTCATCTCCTAACTTTCCCACTCTCTAATTCCCTGACTCCAGAGAGTCTTTTACTTCCTTGTGACATCTTTTCTCCAGTCCTTCCATTGTCAGTCAGCCTGCTTGTCCTGGCCTACATTCAAGTTCTTTTCTCTATCCAGGTTAGAGGGAAAAATACATTTCTGGAAGAACCTTAATCTTTTCTACACAGAACCTTAATCTTATCTAACCTTATCTTATCTACATTCTCTTCTGTTTGGAATTATGTTGTCTCTTTGACATTTTTTTTTTTTTTTTTGCATTTTGAGTATCTGGGTTCCTTAGACAGGTTATTGGTAAGACTGAAGCATGAGACTTGGTTATGGGTAAGTCACAATCATAGAGAGCTTATGACTTTCTTTATACTGACACAGTGATTAAAAAAATACAGCAAGAGGTGAACAGGTCAAATTCTTCACATCACAAAGATACTGATTCATTCACTCAAGAGTCACTAAAAAAAAAAAAAAAAAGGAAAATTGGAAAGTGTGACCAGTTTTTTGCTCTGCTAAATTCACAATGTTCTTTGGGCTGGAGGTGCCTATTAATTGTGCCAACCCTCACTGAAGGCCCTTTTTAATAAAAAAAAATACAGCAAAGTTATTCTGTTCCCACTCTGTGCAACTTACAGCATTAAGTACAAATCAGGTGGGAGAATTTTTTTTAAAAGTGATGTAAGCCTGTCTTCATTAAAAACATTAAAATTATGGCCACTAGCTATTCTGAGTTTTTGTATGTCAACTGTACTGTCAAGATGAAATGTATTGTCCTTTCCATTAAAATAATGGAAGGTCACAGAAGATTTTTTTAAATAGCCTGCACATGTTAAAATGATTAAGTGGAATGGAACCTGCAGAACGTTCTGGGAGATCTGCCAAGGGTTTCAGTATTCACTTTGCCTCTTTATAGTAGACCAGTTGCCTGGTTCTAAAAATCCCTGAGACTGACCAACATGTTGATATTCCACTTGGTTTCCTGCTCTTTAAGTCCAGTGCACTGTCCCATTCATATTTAATGTTCAATTGTCATGCTGGTGATAGAGTAGAAAGCCAGCACAGTGTTCCCTCATGCCTAGGCTGAGGCATGAGGGAACACTGTGAATGCCCTTCTACAGAGGACATGAATGTACCAAACTCAAGTCATAGTTCTCTGATTAAATACCCATGGGAAAGCTTAAGAGTAGATGGCAGCTTCTACACAAAGCATGTTGCCATGCAAAGGGTACATGGTTAGTAAAAATAGCATACTATTTGGACTCCTCTGGGTGCTGCTGTCCTTGTCAGTAGTGCTGATGTGATGTGTAACTGAGGAGGCCTTAACATGTCCACATTCTGAACTAATTACTCCACATCCAGAGGTTCGTGTAACCTACACAGCAATCATGTGAAGCAGGCAATATTATTACTCACATTTTAGAAATGACTGAACAGAAGCTCTGAGTATTTAAGTGATTTTCTTGTGGTAACACAGCTATCCAGTGATTAAATCAGTTCAAGGGGAATACATGTTGAGTCATGGAAGTGATGTTCCTAATCACTGTAATGTCCAAGTCTGTTGAGGGCCACAGCTGAGTCGGGATGACGCATGGCATTTTTGCCAGAAGTAGTAGTTGAGAGGTAACGCCAGGGAGCCATTAAGATGATGACTTTTGAGTTCTCGCGGAGTTCCCGTTGGGTTCCGGTTGAGCTCCTCTCGCGGGGATTCCTGAAGAGTTCGCATTGGTTGGGGAGGTGCCGGAGGAGGAAATTTCTGGTTGGTGGTTCCTGGAGGAGCTGAGTGGCATTCGGGAGAGTTCCCGGGGACCGTGTGTAGAGTGTGCTGGTGGAGTTCAGAAATAAAGTTTGTTCCTGCTCGAGTGGCTCCTGATTTGTGCCCAGCCAGACTGCACACAAGTCTTCAAGAACCATGTGATCTTGAGCATTTAACGTCTCTGTGTCTATGCTTTATCATCTTTAAAATGGGAGATATAATGCTCACCTGGCAGGACAATTAGGAAAATCAAATAAAATAGATCTATTTTTGTTTATTAAGGTAGTATATATTATGAAAGTTTTTTTTTTTAATTCACATTTTGAGGTTACATTCCAACCGAGTGAGGAGAATTAAGAAAAGGAACCAAGAAGTTGCTTATTTAAGATGCATGTCGTTTTATATTTCTGTATTTTCCTTGGCTCTGATGTGATCTATTAACTCTAAGGATTTTTTTTTTGTATTTCCATCAGATTCATTAATGGTGTGTTTCCCTCCTCTTATAATCATACTGATCTAAAATGTAGGTTTCTGAAGTATCAGTCAAAAGAAAGTGAACATAATCCAATAGATTGAAAATATATTAAATATTGGACAGCCTTGGCTTTGCTTGAAATTAAAGACTTTCACTCCCAGAGAGGAAGACATGAACCCTGAGTGTGTGTCATACTTGCTGGTGCAGAAACAGATTATAGAACTGAATTTCTCATCTGCCTAGAGTTACCAATTGGGGAAATCAAGAACAGCACAAAACCTTCGGCTCCAGAAAGAAGGGTTGCTGTGTGTAGATGATTGTGAAACCTTAAGTGCAAGTTGAATAGTTCCCTAGAGCAAGAAAAAGAAAATAGGGCCAATGCTTAATAGAAAAGAAAAGTTAAAGAAGATTCACAAACTCCTTCCTGCACTCAGTGGTTCACAACTATTTCATGAGCTCTTTATAGCTACAGATTCCTATGTGGGAATTATGGAGGTAAAATTCTGCCTTCTAAGAATTTACCAAAAAAAAAATGGCAGCATTTAGCTCTTCTTAAAAAAGGCATTCTGTGGCATATGCCACAGCAGAATTGCAAAAACATTTTTTTAAGTATGAAAGATCTTTAACAGGGAAGAGTCTGTGATAACTTTTTGGAGAAAGAGGGATCTGAGCCTACCTATATTAAAGGAGGACTTCAGAATGCTGAAAGTGTTCCAGTTTGAAGGAACAACTGAGCAGAGGTATTAGAGTGAGTAATATGTAGGTTGTGGTCAGGGATAGTAAACCCTGGAGAGGCAAGGAGTGTTTGAAGAGATGATCGTGAAAGGTATGTAGAACTCATATCCTAAAGCTCATCCTCATATTGGAAGAAGGAATAGAATGTCAATCCTTATACAAGGTTGAATTTTGAGACACTTAAGAGAAGGGAAGTGGTATGACTTACTGAATCAGCCCAGAAGTGTTAAGGGACTGACTTACCATTGCCATGGAGAGACATCTAATCAAGTGTGGGAAGGAGTGAAAGTTGATTCTGAAACTTCCATCCTGAGGAGAGAAGGGTACTGCTGTCAACCAGGAAAAAGGAATTGGCAAGAGCAAAGAGTTTGGGTCATGACTTGCCCTGAAGACCTCTCAGGTGTGAGGCTTTCCACTCAGCATCCATGTAGTGTGAGTCCAGGAGGAAATGGACCGTGGAATCTTGGAAGTCACCTGCTTGGAGTTAA